CTTTTAATCTTGGGACGTTATCTACCTTGTAAAACAAGGAATATCCACTCCTTCCTTTGGCACAGGCTTACCAATCAACTTAAGGAGATGGGCATCAAATGGTSTAGCTGTGGTGTTAACAATTAACATGGCTAAAGTTGAAGCAACAACTGAGAAACCATGTCCAACCATTTCTTGTAAAAGCATCTCTATCGAGTCATGTTGTTTGTTCTGTAATAATCCTTGGATAAGGACGTTGTAAGTGGCACTATTTGGCGGGCAACCTCTCTCCTTCATTTGGAGAAACAAATCTTTTGCTTCCCCCACTAGACCTTCCCGACAAAAACCACCAATCATCACTGTATATGACTTAATGTCGTGTTGCAAACCTTTAACACTTAGGTCATTGAAGAGATTCCTTGCGATATCAAGCTTCCCACACTTACATGCACCATCCATGAGGATAGTGTACACAACAATATCTGAATTTAGCTTGTTGTCACCCATCGAACGGAACATAGAGATTGCTTCCTCGACTAAATGGTTATTGCATAGACCCTCCAAAATTATCCTGTAAGTGCATTCTTTGAGAATCTGGTTGTGTGCTCGCATCTCATTAAAGAGTTTTTGTGCAGCTTTACAATGTCCAATTCGAAACAATCCTTGTAACATGGTGTTGTAAGTGACCACATCAGGTTTCATACCTTTTTCAGTTATTTCATGAAACAAATGCAAGGCCTCGTCTATCTTCATTTCTTTGCAATAGCCATTCAATAAGCTATTACAAGTCACAATATTAGGGACCAGACCTCTAATGCTCATCGAATCAAAAACTTCCCTTGCTTTCATCATTTCACCCCGCAAACAATACCCATCAATAAGAGAATTATATGTCACCACATCGGGATCCTTTCCTATATCGACCATGACGTTCATAAGAACCTCTGCATCTTCAACTTTACCTTCCTTGCAAAATGCGTCGATTAATATATTAAAGGTTATGACATTCGGAGATATCCTTTTGTCCACCTCCATTTCTTTAAGCATTTTAGAGGCATCATCCCAATGACCTAAGTTACGGAGGCCACCAATCAAAGGGTTGTAAGTGACAACATCAGGTAAGATGCCTTTGTGGACGATCATTTTGTTGAAGAGTTTTAAAGCATCATCTATCATTTGGTCCTTGCAAAGACTCTCGATGATGGTGTTATATGTGAAAACATTAGGCTTACAACCCCTTTCATTCATCATCTTAAGCAAAGCAATGGCTGTATTGCTATTGCCAAACTTGCAAAGTCCTTTGATCATTGTGTTGTATAGAATTTCATTAGGTTCACAAAGTTTCTCTTTGATAAGCTTCTTGAATAATCTTTCTGCCTCGAGATTCCTATCTTCTAGGATGAGTCCATTTAAGAGAATAGTAAAAGTCCACACATCGGGCAAGACACCACGTTTCAAGCCATAGGCTACTACTGCAAAACCCTCACTGGTGTGGAACAATTGGCAATAACACTTGATCACGATGGCAAGAGTGTACTCATCAACAGGAACACTAATGGCAACCATTTGTTTAAAAAGATCAATGGAACAAGAATAGTGTTTCATTCTGGTGACCGTTTGCAACAATTGGGTGAATTTAACAACAGATGGCAAAGGTTGTCTTTGTGTCATTTCATCGAACAGTTTGAGGGCATCATCAAGCTTAGTAATTTTTTCAAACATAGAACGAGGACGATCAAACTGTGGTCCATGATTCAAAGCGGAATTTGAATAAAACTGAGGTAGAATGGTTTGGGAAGGATGAATTCGAGAAGATAATTCAGAAAACGAAAAACTGGTTACGGGAAAAAGAAGCGAAGCAGGAGCAATACCTTTGAAGGGATTGGAGACGATGAAAGAAACAGCTTGTTTTGGGATCTTCTTCATCATCAACTACTTTGATTCACAAATGAATGGAAGCATCAATTCTGGTGCGTCAATGGATTTCCCTTTGCTACTTTTGCGACTTTCAAATTTTTTCAGTGTCTACTGTCTACAACGATGCTTTACATTTTTAATTATAAATAAATCTTATAATTAATAAAATAAGGGAGTTGTTACTAGGGGTGCTTATGGGTTGGGTTGATCGGTTTGAAGACATTTGAACAATCAAATCTAATGCTTGTGGTTTGAAAAAATCTCAACTCAACCCAACCCAAACCAAAGTGCAACTCAACCCAATCCGTACGGGTTGGTCGGGTTGATACTTTGGTACATTAAAATATTCTTGTAACATTGAATATGTTATTTCTCTACTCATAATTTCTTTTTCATCATCAACCATTTAATACACCTTATCCATATTTCTTACGTATAGCACATCCAGTTAATTTTCTCAATTTACATATATATGTTCACAATTACTGAACATATGTACGAATGAATTATATAGAGATGTGAATAGATTAAGAATATATGTATATGAAAAACATACATGATAGTGTAATTGTGTAACTATATATTAATAGAAATTCAACAATCATATTAAATTCAAGAAATAAATGGATATCAGGTTCATCGGGTTGGGTTGAGTTCAAATAATAGTAACTCAATATCAACCCAATACTTACGGTTTGACAATTTTACAACTCGATTAGACATCAGGTTGCTTCGGGTTGGGTTATTTTGTGTTGGGTTGGGTTGGATTGATCGGGGTTTGTTGGGTTTTTGAGCACCCCTAGTTGTTATAGAATAACCGATTGAAAGAATAATGTAATTGAAAAAATGAATATGTAATTCTCATTAATCAAAAGCCTTTTAAATAGGGATGTGATACAAGTAGATAATTATGATAGATATTAGTTATAATTTATCTCTAATATGTTTATCGTTATATAGCTCGTCATATCCTTTAACGATGACACACTTATCCTACGACAAAAGTTATATTTTAAACAACTTCTCAAGAATAATTAATTAGAGATGGAAATTTTATTTGTAGGGATGAGTCTTCGCTTTGGCTGGTAACARGAGAGAACTAGGGTTTATATTAATACCCGAAAGGGGATAAGGGTCTGGGATGACACTGCTCCTCCTTAATTTGACCCAATTAAACTCCTTATTTTTGTTAAATGTTTGTGTATGTGTGTATGCAAAGTCGGATTCATGTGAGAACGATAACTAAATAAAGAAACAAAAAAAAAGGGATGAATCACATATGGTTTTTATAGTAATATCACATGTGATTTAGACGGCTCTAGGCCGAGGGCCAGGTCGTGCGGTCATCTTTACGTTGACCTCGTTCCATAATCGCGTATAAAATCACAAGTTATATGATCGTTTTCTTGTGCTTTTATTCTGACCATGTTTTCGTTTGATTCTTCCTCTATATGTGTATATTTACATATCTTAGTAATTATACAATAAATATACTTCATTTTCAATATTGATAAGTAATTGAATGACCCATATATATATATATATATATATTAGTTGTGTACCAGCGCAATGCGGCGGGAGTCATAAATGTAAACGATTTGAGGCTTTTTGTGTTTTCACGAGAGAAGACTTTTTGAATGATATGATTTACTCTTAGGGGCTGTTTGTTTGGCTCTTAATGGTGACATTAAGAGCCAACCTCTTAATCGGTAAGAGGTAAGGGTTGTTTGGCAAAAAAAAAGAGAACCTCTTAATGGTTACAAAGGCTCTTAACGATTTAGGGTCTAGGGCTCCCCTAAATGATTCAGAGGGGTCTTCTTCCATGGTTGGAAGCATGGTGGCCTGCTTCCAATGATGAGTTTGCATTTGAAAGTAGGACCTTATCAAGTTGCATTTGTGGTTGAAGATGATATTGAAAAATTATGTTTGTTTGCACTAATATAAAATCTTGTTTTGAACTAATAATGTTACATTTGTTTGGATTAATATGAAATATGTAGTTATATTTGCAAAATAATTGTTCTATTCAGATTCTGCCAAACAGCTCTATTTCATTCAGTACTAAATCATTCAGAGGGTTAAAATGATAATTTGTTGTCATTCAGAGAACAGTTACCAAACAACATTATTTCATTCAGCACTTAACCATTTTGGTCCTCTTAACCATTCTGCACCAAACCATTCAGCAACCGTCAAACAGCCCCTTAGTTTTTTACATATTAATACATTTGAATAAATAAGAGTTATTGTTTCAATTGCAGTCGATCAACAAAAATTTGGAATAAAGTTTAGAATTCAATATATTTAAACCAATCCATCATGATTTACAGTAAACAACATTGTTTTCACCGGCCAAGGATTATTAAATGACAATATAACATATACTCATGACTTGTTTTAAATGAATTTATTAAAATAGACATTGAACAGAAAGATAAAGAATATGAAAAATTCCCACGTTCCGTAGTTGCAGCAAAAGACAAAGAGAAGATTGGGAGTTCATGGTATACCAAAACCAGTTTTGGTAACGCCTTCATTTCTAGAAAGTTAAAACATAAAATGTCACAAAAATCAAATGATGACATGACAATCTTCTAACTTCAAGTTCTTAGTCAATTATGGTTCTTCTTGGTCCAAAAGATTTGGGTACTCTTTTCCTCAAATTGGAACCGGAAAATACAGAAAAAAGAATTCAAGAAATGCTTAAATTTTAAGTTACACGATTGGGATGTTCTCACAAACACTATAATTGTAAAATATGTCAACAAATGATATATTAACATATGATAATAACAAGGTGAGTGGAAATTTATACCGACAAAGATGACGATGCCAAAGACCCCTAGTTCTTGAGTGGTAGAACAAAAAAACCACAAAATCCCCAAATTTGTCCACACGTTAAAGAAAAATACATAAAGCCAGCATAGGGTGCACCTGGGTTGTTTGAAGTTGGACCTGAAGACTAAGCTCCAACACACATATCTCATCAGAACCACATATAATATAATATCCACCATGATGCATGTTAACTAATACAACGCATAAAAAGTTCCAAATTTCATAAGGAAAATTACAAGAAACCTCAAGTATTTCTTTCCAAATTCAAATAACATTTAGAAATGTTATGGTTGTTGCATATTCTTAAAAATATTAATCATCAAAATCGGGTGCATGGTTGATGCCTAAGCAACTCCCTGTTAGCCAAAAGTTTAGCTAGTCTTTAAGGGTAATTTACCTAAATGCTTACCCGATAAGTGTTTAATATTAGAAGTCAATACCATAATTTATTTTATTGAGTAAGATTGTAGTACATCAAAACGTATCATATGCAACAATTTACCTGGTAAGCGCTTACCCGGATAAGAGTCATCACTCTCACTTACCGGGTAAAACTCTTCATTCTTAATATTCTATCAATCAAAATGATGCAAATATTAATTTTGTTACATTGTTTATGTCATTAATTTTGTTACATTAATTTTCAGAAACATTTAATAAGTAAATAATGGTTTTCATTTACTATTGTATATTTTAATAAAATGGTATGATAATTTAGAATTAAAAAATTTTAGTTCACATGCTTAGGTGGCAAAATTGTATCTAACACCTGGTTTTTAGTATCCGTAATTTCTAGTTTTTGTATGTAAATTGGTCTTAATATAATCATTTAAATATATTATAGATGTTGGTTGAGTTGGTTATCGTATTTGGTAAAAAAAACCAACTTTTTGTTGAAAATTGCACTGCTCATGCCCATGCAGCTATTTTGCTCGCGTATGCAAGCAAACTTCAAAAAATGGACAGAACTATATATATATACTATTCACCCTCGCACAACTATTTTGCTCATGCCGGCGAGTATCTGCAACCCCTTTAAATGCGATTTCTTCCTTTTCTTTTTCATTTCTCTCTCTCTCTCTCTCACTCACACACACATTCTTGGTCCAAGAACATTCCTCCTCCAAAATTGATTTCTTCAAGAGCATTAAGAGCTCTTAAACATCAAAATTTCAAAGTCTAGGTCCATGATCTGAGTTCATCTTCTTCATCTCAATTTCCACCATTATTGACCTAGTTTTTAGGTTCTTCCTAAAAATGATTTGTAAGTCATCCTAACCTTTCTAAACCYTWMTTCTTGTTGAAAACTTTCATTTTGATCTTCTAGAACATCCATTTTGGTGTATCTTCATTATACTAAGTTTTTAATCATTTTGGGTGCTTTGGTACTAACCTTTTGAAAACGACACTCTTAAACTATGTTTCTTAACAGTTTAATGACACTCATAACTTATTTAGTCCGCTATACATTAATGATGAAATGTGACTATAGGAAACTTTATGCAAAAAGTCTCGTGGTTTCTAAACTTGTCCATTTCAATAAAAAAACACAATCTTTACATCTTTGAAAAAAATTCTTTCAAACAAAAATGCACTTAAACTATACACACATATTGATCCACTTAGAGACCGTTTACCAAATACTTACCCGAGTAAGTGCTTACCAAGTCATGTTACCTCATTGGATGAATATGGTAAGAACCAAAAATCTTACTCGGTAAGAGCTAGACAAGGACCATGAATCTTACCCGATAAGTGAGGCCGAAGACTCTTACCACGATATGCGCTTACCGGGTAAATTGTTGCATACAATGCCATTGTGGTGGATAAAAATCTTACCCGATATGGTACCATATAGATTAGAACTGTTTTTGTTTCGGAGAGTTTTTCATTCATGGAAAGAACATTTTTTAAATAGAAGAGACAGGTTTTAAGAAAAACTTTGTTTTCTGCATAATGCATCTTAAGAAGCTTTACTGAATAAGCACCATCAACAGTCATGTATAGTTGACCTAGTAAGTTGTACCTAATTAAGTTCATTAACCTGCTCTAAGTGACCCACGTAAGGTGGGATTTTTTACAAAAAAGTTCAATCTTTAACACCAAACAGATAAACAAATGTTTGTAAATCAGGGAAACAATAGTCGGCTTGCTGGCTTCGCTTAGGAGCCAGTGACAACAAGGAGCTTAAGCCCAAAAAAAAACTGACTTAAAGCCTTGTCTGT